CTTCCACAGCCAATTCAAAAATGACCAGGGATTGATGAAGATGAGTTAGTTGTATTTTACGTCCGCTTCCACCGAGGTGATATCGCAGACCAGGGGTTGGGGAGGCCCCCTTTTTATATGGCGTGCCCAAGTCGGCACGACACCGTCCGAATTGCGCAAATTCGTCGTGCCAATGCGGGAAGTGCGTAAACAATGCGTGAAGTCGTCGTGCCAGTTCGTGTCAATGTGGGCACTGATGGGCACGCATTCGTGAACTCGTCGTGAACTATGCATGAACTAGTCGTGAACAGTGCGGGAGCCTCCCAGTTCGTGCCCCAAAATGGCACGACTTGCCACGACAAAATCGTGGCCAAAAGTCGTGCAAGTGTCAGCCTGGCTTCACATAAGCACATGCAGGTCACTTTATTCTATGGAATACAATTACTGCTGAGCGACGTTTCGACTTCCCCAGTTTTTATCATGCAATGAAACAATTTGGTACGCACGTTAAAGAACCCTTGACAACTGGAAATCGATAAAGTGAAGACTGCCTGGCAAACATAGGCGTAGGAGCCGGGGGGGGGGGCATTTCCCCCCGCCCCCCCCCCCCCCCCAAAAAATTTATTTTCGGGCAATGAAAAATTCGACGACCTTTTTTTTCTATTAACGTTTAGAGAAAAAATATAACTAACTTATGTCTATGAGATCCACACTGCCCGAAAAAACGGTATTGATTTCGGGCAATTTTCTCTTATGCCCCCCTGAATTACTTTGAGCTCCTACGCCTATGCTGGCAAATGTCAGTATTCATTATCCCGGTTGGTCCATAACAGTAGGAAGTTAAACTCAATTTCATTTGATTTCATTTCTAAACCTGAACTGCCAGTCAGATGATTTCAGATTTAGTTTGTCCCAGTCATTGAGATGGCGATTGGGGACAGACGAAAATATCAATTCAAACGTTATTCCTTCTGTACATAGTTTACTGTTAATAAAAAGTCGAAACAAATCAACTAAATCAATAAACGTGATTGTTGCTAAAATAAACATTTCATTGGCTTTTTTTATTATTATATTTCACGTAGCAATTTCATGTAATTTTACATTAACAAGACAACAGATGCTTGTGGATGTGTGCCATCGTATGGTCTGTTCGATGCCCTATATTATTTAAAACAAGTGGAAATGAAATAAAATTTGATTTAACGTCCAAGTGCTTGAAACCTACTGGGTTATTGAATACGCAATAATTATATGATAGGTATCTTGCCCGGACTTGCAGGGCTTCTTTCAGTTGCACGCCTTCGTGTTGTTCATCCCACCAGAACGACTAGACGCTGTTCCGTGCCAGGCCTCTTTTCCCGCACACTAGCCACAACAGTCTAATATAGTCGGTAATAAAATATTTAAAGGAGCTAAATCGCTACTACTTGGGACCTAGAAATTGACATAAATGGGTCGCAACGCATATAATAATGTAATATGAATGCATATAAACTCATTACATTCAATCGTTTCCGTTTTTACTCCAATAGTATTTATTGCGCATGCTCTCCAGATACGAATATGACGCCACCGTTTGACATGACTCGTGGAATATTTCTAGCCTCGTTCTTCGAGTCCCTTGTTACAAATGGCGCTGAAACGCATTATGGTACAAGATTCGTGTACTGATGGTAAAATGTTGTATTTGTCTTAAATATTGGATATGAGAAGCCCATCTTTTCCCGGTAAGATCACAACATCAATGTTGATTTAAATTGACAAATAATTTGTGTGTTAAAATCTAGAAAACCGAAATCTCGTGTAGGCCTACACATTGGCGTGCAAGTAGAAGATCGCTTAGCAGTTGGAATTCGATATAAGAGTAGGCCATAGCGCCGTTGTCCGGGTAAAATTTCCCCCATAGCACACTGTATATAGCGTATGCCCGTCTTCATTAGCCCAGTCGGAGCAGAACAGTAGGACGTTAAACATTATTTCATTTCATTTTTTTTTTTTTTTTGTTTTGTTTTTTTCGTCAGCACGATCAAAGTTAAATACGCACATGTTAATGTGGAGTATATTTTCAGATTTGGCTTGATATTTCGATATTGCCGAAAAATTGTCAATGCGACAGAGGTTATATATTTTTTTCACATTTGGTTGGAAGCGATGATGTCATAAGAGGAATAACCATAGAATGCTCAACATTCAAGGTGTCCGTCCGGAAAAGCTGCATTTGAGACAAAGCTGCTGTATGGGCGTATTCCACGCTCTGCGTGGCTATCTTTATATAATGATTTATTGTCGGGTTTCCATTTCTTTAAAACATTTTAATTTATCACGAATAACGCCTTCATCTGTAACACATTCGCGTGGAATTCAGCGATGTCTGGCATCCGATATGTCCACCTTACCAATCACCTTCCAGAAGTTACGCGAGTTTAGGTGTTTACATTTATGTAATAACTTTTGTTGTTCACTTAATTAATATGATCTCCTTAAACGTCATAACAGTTTAGCGAATGAACAGTTGGTATTTTGAGGAGTTTCTCGTCTGAATATCGAAGTGTTCTTCTTGGCAAATGATTTAAGGGTTCTTTGATATACGTACATCATTCAGGTCTTTACAGGTCTGAAGAAGTATCTTAAAGTGTATTCTCTGTTGAATTGATAGCCAATGGAGAGTTAAACTCGCTTTCACTAAATCTCACAAATGCTCAAAAAGTCCCTCCTGTTATTCACATTTACCCCTATTGCCATATTTGTAAGATTCTGATCATTTACTACATACATGTGCAAGACGTGAAACTGGTGAAACTCTTTTGAAATGGATTGAGATACCTCAAGACCTTAATATGCGTTTTGTATTTCAGAAAACTATTTGAAAACTCAGATTACTGGACGCAATTCTCTCCATACACTTACGGCTAATTAATTACAACTTGGCGTTTCATTGTTGAATAAAGAAGTCTAGTCGAAGCATTGCTCAGTAATAAACAGCAATTGTATTGTATTATTCTATCAAAAAGGTTTTAATTGCGCTTGAAAATCAATTATATTGCCTGCATCTGCTTACCTTCAGTTAATATACTGTAACAGTGTAAATCTTCGATAATAACTAAAGACTGGAACTATCCTTGAGTCTATTTATTACCGGAAATCATTTAACATCATATACGGAGAACAGCACGTCCGACAAGCAGTGTAACTGTCCTGGAAACGGGATGAAACCTAGAATGCTTTGTCAATGTACAAATCGGTATTTATAATAAAATGGTATCTTAGGAATTAATAATATACACGAAGGTTACTAATAACAATTAAAGGGGAATATACTCTAATTTCAAATCAATTATGTTCCGTGAAATAAGCCAGCAGTCTCAATCGAGTGCAAATTCCTAGCGTCTGGTTATTCCAGTCTACATAAGCCGTTTGGTTTGGTGCAATATGTCTAGCCTCGTTCCTCTAGTCTCTTGCTAGAACTGGGGCTGAAACGCATTATGGTACACGATTCGTGTACCAATGGTAAAATATTTATTTTGTCTTAAATATTGGATATCAGAAGCCCACCCTTTTCCGGTAAGATCACAGCATCAATGTTGTTTTAAATTGACAAATAATTTGTGTTTTAAATGTTGAAGATTTTGGATGATATTGAGTTAGAGACTTCGCTCCTTTAAACCATGGTTATGGCAGCTGGCTGGAAATATAACTGACTTTGGGTTCTACTAATCAATGACAAGAAATGACAAGAGCGTTTGTTTGTCAATAGCGCCAAAATTATTGCAAAAAGTGACCGACATGGAAATGGTTCCATAAAAAGATAGGTTGCCAGGCAACAAAACATACGCCCACAGCAGCTAAATCGTCTGAGCAGTCGACAAGGGATGTCACATATTTATTCTTTTGTAGGTAATAAGGGGAATTTAATAGACAATTTCATACAGATGACATAATTTTCGTCGTTGGAGGGTTCACAAGGTTTTAAAAACTAAAACAAGGGCTGTAACTCTGGAAGTTCTACTAATTCAAATAATGCATATAAATTTCATACGGATCGGATGATAACTTTTGTTGTTCAAACGTTCACAAGGTTCAACAAAGTAAAACAAGGGCCCTAACTCTAGAAGTAAATGACGGAAATTGCTGACATTCAATAGGCTTCTTCATTTCACTAATTTAAATGATGCATATGAATTTCATACAGATTAGGTGATAACTTTTGTCGTTCAAGCGTTCACAAGATTCAATAAAGTTAAACAAGGGCCATAACTCTAGATGTAATTACCGGAAATTTGCTGAAACTCAATAGGCTTGTTTGTTTTACTAAGTTAAACGATACATATAAATTTCATACAGATCGGATAATAACTTTTGTCGTTAGAGCATTCACAAGGTACAACAAAGTAAAACAAGGGCCATAACTCTGGCGTAATTAACAGAAATTGCTGAAATTCAATAGGCTTCTTCGTTGCACTGGTTTAAATGATGGATATCAATTTAAAACAGATCGGATGATAACTATTGTCATCAGCATTCACAAGATTCAACAAAGTGAAACAAGGGCCATAACTCTAGATGTAATTAACAGAAATTGTTGAAATTCAATAGGGTTCTATGCTTTACTAATTTAAATAGTGCATATAAATTTCATACAGATCGGATAATAACTTTTGTCGTTCGAGCATTCACAAGGTACAACAAAGTGAAACAAGGGCCATAACTCACGGAAATTGCTGAAAATCAATAGGGCGTATAAAAATTGATAAAATTATAGGTAATTGAAATTTTGACTAAAATGACCTTACTATAGTCCCTGACAACAGCATTTTTGTTGTTGTGTATTTGTCATTAGCACCCAAAGTATTGCAAAAAGTAACCCACAAGGAATGGTACGAGGGAAATTTTCCATATACTCTTCATCGAATTCCAATTGTCAAGGATTCTTTTACGTGCACCTCATTTTTTGTCCCATTCCGTCCTTTACCATTTACAAGGGAAAACCTGGCTGGAAAATGAATAACTAAAACAAAACATTCAAGGCAAAGCATTATACTTTTATTATTATCCTTTTGACAGAACTCATTTAAAACCAAACATGATACCAAGTTAAAGTGTAATATATGACAAATAAAATCTTAAAATTTTAAATAACAAGAAAAGATCATTAAACAACATTACAAACATATGTAATCTAACATTGTAACATAACAGGAATGATTTTATATGGTAAATTTCATCTTGACCAATGAAACAGATCACTGTACAGATTTATCAATAATTTATACACAAATATCACAACCATCATATCAGCTTAATAGATTATAATATGCAACTTCATAAATAAATATTTATCATTTCTATAAATTGTATTTCCAAATAAAACTGAGCAATTTGTTTATTACAGATGTCACTCAAAACCATAGATAACACCATGTACTGATTTTAAAACGTTCATTGAGTCCTTAATATTGGATATTAGGGTCCCATATTTTCACAGTAAGATAAAAACATCAATATTGTTTGAAATAGATCAATATTGAATTCTAGTTCTTGTTTTTAATTTTGAATATTATGGATAGGATTGAGGTCTAGGGTGAGTATCTCAGGGCCAGCGGAAGCAATTCTTGATTGGGGGGGCTTCCATCCTAGGTCCTTATAGTCGTGGGTCCAGGGGCCGCAATAACCTGGAGAAAAGAGTACTTGCAGCCAAATTATTGGGGGGGCTAAAGCCCCCCCTAGCCCCCCCACTCCGCCGGGCCTGTATCTACAACCAAGATACCTTCATGCTTTGAACATTACCCGTATAAATGAGGATGAGTCCCCCCTCCCCATCTCCTTTACTTATGCTCATTCAATACTTCACATAATTCTTTTAGTATAATATATATACCATAACAGATTTTTTATTGAAAGCCTTTTTACACAATAGTTCAGCTTAGATTAATCTGAAACCAACACAGATTCTATTTCATCCCCATTTTGGGTAGGTCGATAAACTATATACCTAATATGAATAAATTAAGTAATAGCTGTAGCCTATGTTAGACATGTTTTGTATATCTCTAATAAATTGTCCAGCAATAGTCACTCTTTAGATAAAAGCAGTTGACAAGAATTAAAACACATTTGAATATGCATGCATGTAGTAACTAGATATTGAGCAATAATTATAATAATTAATTGAGCAATAAGCAATAAAAAAACAAACTGAACACTCCTTTAAAAATATTGATTAATATTATTATTGAGTAATAAGCTGTAAAAACAATCATATAAATGAAGTTAATGTCACTGATCCTCATTTGAGGGATTTTGAATTTCTTGCAAACTACACTATTGTGAAAGTTAAATCTTTAAAAGGCACATCAGTCTAAATATGGTTCAATTCAAAGATATGATGAATTGAAACTTCGTCAACATTCGGCACCTTGTGTGGACGACATAAACAGAATACGATCAAAACAAGCCAGCAGTACCTATGATCTTTGCTAAAATCAGCTTTATGGACCCTTCTCTTAATCCAGCTGAAGGACAATATCTACTGTTGATATTTTGATTTATTTTCTTAATTAAATGTTAATTGAGTCGTGAAAACTTAGACAATCAGCGACTATAAACAATCAAATACAGGGTGATTTGTTTTTTTTTAAAAACTCATTTCACCATTAACGGTTATATATTGGTAATAACATATTAAATGGAAGACATTATACTGTTTGATAAATGTATTCATAATCATAACACCATCTCCGTTTTTTATCACATATAATACAAATTATTTACAATAATGAGGATAAGAGTTTATTACTTCCCCGTGATAAACTTGTGTATGGAAAGTTTTTATTGGAATATGAAATAAGAACTGCAGACCATCAATAAGCAAATATGGTGGCTGAATACTTCCATTTAGATTGTGGTGTTTCCAGATGAAATGTGAAAGCAAACTCTATACAGATTAATCATACTCTGAACCTATTGTGATACTTATTTCACCAGGATGTACAAACGTTGCATGATACCACATGTTAGTGTCAACCACAACTGTAAAAATATACACATAAAAAATTATAAATATTGACTAAGCTCTTTAGGAGGAAAACACAAGTCAATAATATAAAAGTATAAGATTCTGAAAATTTAACAGCCAAAGTGAGACACAGAATACCAAATTCCAATCTGATAAAACACAGATCCTATTTAGTTTCGTTTTTTATAGTTCAAAATTTTGTTTTACTTGTCTTTACTACACTAGGATCTGGAAGAGTTGTTATTATTAATGTGTTCTGGATGATGTGAGGGATTAGCCAATAAAAGGGTCTGTTACAGCAGACTTTTGACGTGTGGTGCATGGAACTGTGGGTAATCCACTAGAAACATCAATGCCGATTGGTTAATCAAATGTCGGACATCATAAGTCAAAAGCCGCTCGTATGACCTCTGACCTGACCTCCCAAAACAACTGTTCAGATTTTCATGTAGTGTAGGCCACCGAAAGTATATAAAAAAAAACGAAACGAAATATAGATCTGTATTTTAATCAGATTGACCAAATTCAAGCTGTTTTATATCTTTTGAAATGTTTAATCAGAGGTATACCTGGAAAAAGTGTGTAGCAAGCCCCCTTTCCAGACCACATTGACAACATTAATACACTAATGTCACACTAAGTGTGGTTATATGATTGAGGGCGGGATATTAAGTAATATATTGATATTGCAAGAGACCATTATTGGCATTAAACAATTTAAAATACAGATATTTCATCTATAAATACTGTAATAACATACTAAAGCCAACCCAATTTGGTTTACTTTTCTTCAGGGTCTTGATATATAAATAGCCACATGAATCAGGTGAAAGATGTTTTATTTAAAAACTTTTAAACAGTAAAACAAAGTATGTTTGGTTTTTAAATTTGTCTTTCCTGAAGAAAGAAGAGACAAATTTCAAAAGGTGCTCCCAGAAAAACAGAATATAAAATTGATGTGGCCTAAGGACATAGTCAATTGTCTGGGAGGTGAAATGTTTGTATAATGTAGCTGATTAAAATGTCATGGGATTGAATTTTTCATGTAACAAGCGGTTGCCATGCAAGATACGCCCACATTTTGCAAGAGAAGGACAGAGAACAAGCTCAAAAAAAGTAGTGATTTTTTGTACAATCAGGGGCCATAATTCGGGAAGTTACGGTCCGATATGCGCGAATATCGAAAAGAACTGAAATCTTTGGGTTATAAAATTACATTTTAAGTTTCAACAAAATTGGATAAAAATTGTGACCTCTATAGGGTCCACAACCTTGATATACCATATTTTTAAGCTATTTGAGAACAATGGGCGGCCATTTTGTCAGTCAGTTTTTGTCCGATTTTCACGAAATTTAAACTCAGCCATTCTTAGGGTTTAACAGTGATATACTAAAACTTTTTTTAAATCGGATAAAAATTATGACCTCTATTGGGTCCACAAGCTAAAAACGCGATTTTTCGTACAATATAGAAAGGAAACGAGATCTTGGATGATAAACCTATATTTCAAGTTTCGTTGAAATCGGATAAAAATTGTGACCTCTAGAGTGTTCACAAAAATTGTGGACAGAGGGGGGCGACGACAATATACGTCCACATGAAATTTTTTTACGCTATTTGAGAACAATGGGCGGCCATTTTGTCAGTCAGTTTTGGTCCGATTTTCACGAAATTTAAACTCAGCCATCCTTAGGGTTTAACAGTGATATACTAAAACTTCTTTTAAATCGGATAAAAATTATGACCTCTATTGGGTCCACAAGCTAAAAACGCGATTTTTCTTAAAATATAGAAACGAGATCTTGGGTGATAGACCTATATATCAAGTTTCGTTGAAATCGGATAAAAATTGTGACCTCTAGAGTGTTCACAAAAATTGTGGACGGAAGGAGGGACGGACGGGCGGACAGGGGCGACGACAATATACGTCCACATGAAAATGTGGGCGTATAAAAATACAAGATTATAAAAATACTTACAAATATCTCCTTTTTCAACAGTTACATTCATTGAGTGACAAATATTTTCACATTCAGGACTTGGTACAAGGTCCCACGTTTTTTTCCCTGATATTTGTGCCTGCCACGATGGTCGTTCAACATAATCAAGCTGAAGATGAATAGATTTGCATTAACACTAGTGCTTTACATGCTAAAATTTGTTTCTGCAAGTCTAGACTACAAAAATGTACAAGTGTCTTTGAATAATAATCAAGTCTAGATTAAATGCACAACAACTAGGTATCTTTGAATGATAATCATGTCTAATCTATAAACAATGTACCACTGGATGTTTTTGAATGATAACATAGTATTAAAATTTATTGTTATTTCAGTCAAACAAGCTTTTATAGAAAATCAGTGATGTGCTACAGGGGCGGATCTAGGAATTTTGAAAAGGGGGGGGGGGGGCGCCGCAAAATGAGGGCACTGACCGCGGAGACGGGGCACGCCGCTGAGAGGGGATTTTTTAGGGGGGGGGGGGAGTCCCAAAGAAAATTATCCGTCATTTCCTTGCATCTGTAGCCATTCCAAGAGCTATTTGGCTGATATTTTCGTCTAAGTAAACGTTCGGAAATCGTTGAAAAATAGCCTTAAAATCGAGCAAAAAAGTCAGTTGAACAAGCGACTCGAAAATTGTCAAGGCGAGCGAGGCATTATGATGGGAAAAAAGACGAATCTATTCCCTAGCCACTTCACTATTTAAGCCTTGTAACTTGTACTTTGTACTGTCCACACATGAAACAATGCTACATCAAGTTGCACTCATGCGCGTCGGTGAAGGGCATGAGTGTATACGCCGCGATTTCACAAGATGTCTATCTATAGCCACTCTATAGGATTAGGGCACCGTCAGCTAAACAACAAGAATTCGTTTGAAAGTGAAAGCATTAATTTGACCAGACTGGTGTGTTTGAATTGATGGTTTGGGTCGTTTGGGATCCCTGCAACGGGTTGGGAACGGACATATTTGGGTCTGAGAAAGGGCACTTTCAGCAGTAAAAAAGGGCACTGTCGAAAATTAGGGGGGGCGCGCGCCCCTCGCACCCCCCCCTTAAATCCGCCTCTGTGCTAGTAGATTATGCAACTGATTCAATCAGTTATACAAGTTGTTTGGAATTATGGAAAAATAATCATGTCAAATGTCTCTAAATAATTAATTATTTCAATTATCTCTCATTTGCACAAATTAGTTGAAAAGACGATGATGTATCAGTATTAATGAACTTACATGCATGAAAGCTCCTAGCCCACTTCCTCCCATAAACATCCAGTCTATGGTACTAGATTCAGAATCTTTGGGTATAAAATAAGGTCGTTCATAGTGGCTTCTTAATATCTTGGCTATTCCTTCATGACAGTTACTCCTGGAAACAAACACACAATAAATCAGGTTACCATTACAGTCATTACATCCCATTTAAGACTTGGATAAATACCGAATAAAATTTGTGATACTCGGCATATGAATTATTATGAAGCAAAATATCCCAATATATAATTAAGCATAATATGTAATACTGAAAGAATGCCTGGTACAATATGTAATACTGACTAAGTGCCAAGTACAATATGTAATACTGACAAAATGTCAAGTACAATATTATATAATACTGAAAGGATTCCTTGTACAATATGTAATACTGGAAGGATTCTTGGTACAATATGTAATACTAAAGTGTCAAGTACAATATGTAATACTGACAAAGTGTCAATTAGTATTGTCAAGTACAATGTAATACTAACAAAGTGCAAAGTTTATATGTAATACTATTTATTGATGAAGTACATTGTATCATGTCTGATGTATTGAGACTCGGTGAAAATGCACCACATTTATAAATGGATGATTGTAAATGTTATTTGATTGATACACTTTAATCTTGATATTCTGAATATAACATCAGATCACAACAATAAGAATGATGTTTTTACGATGGGGTAAACACATCACATATCAATTCTCCCAAACACAAAGAAATTTAATTTGACAGAAAGGGAATGTTGAAAATTACAATTTTATGGTGCAAACATGAGGTATAAAATTTTCTGTACCGTCTGAGCTCATGAAGACTAGCATACAGTGTGCTATGAAATTTTGACTGGAGAGCAGAGCTACAGCCTACTCTTATATTGAATTAGAACTGTCAAGGGTTGTTTTACATGCACGCCATGTAAGTAGGACCCCAGTTTTCCATCCTATCCAAATAACTAGATTCTGTCCTTGTCAGACCCCCTGTCCTGCACCACTGATAAAGGTAAACATACCAAAAGGAATATTCCTTATAATCTTGCAAGGCGGATATGTACAATTGTATCTTCGGAAGAGGATAAATCAAAACGTCTGAAAGTTTGGCCATGGTTCACTTCGTTTTAGCTCTGTAGAATGTACGTTCTCCTAACTTTAATGCTTTGTTGTTTTTGCACTCAGCAGATTTACCTTTGTGTCAGCTGAAAAATTCTGTGAACTTTCTCGGACAACACCGGATTGAACCCCAAACCTCCTGTATAGTGAGCCAGCACCCTACCCACTGAGCTATTGCAGCTGTGTGGAGAGAAGGTGATAAATACAATACATGTATAAAATACTGCTGAGATCCCAGGTACATGTGATGTTTAAATCTCTATTATTTATAAAGATAACCAATGGCCCAAAATAGACTAGGGAAAAAGTAGGAACTACAGCAAACATTGGCATTCTTTTGCCTCCTTTACCTCTATTCACTTGGATTGATCACAAAATTTTATTTGTAGTTTCTTTGGTTTTGGTTGTAACAGACATTAAATGAAGTTTGGGGTCATTATCTTACTTTTCTACATAAATAAAGAAGTCAGTCAGTATATTTTATAGCATGCCAGTGTGTTTCTATTAAATCTGAATAAAGAAGTCAATTGGGGAAGTAAATAACATGTGCCACCACAGATCAATTACATATTGATTCTTTCTCTTTGTGTATAAACTTAAAAATAGTATATAAGCTTACATTTAATACAATAATGACTGGAAAGTGAAAGCAGTTGTCGCTAATTTTTTTCATTGTATTACATGTATGTAATATTTCACATTCTTTCAAACTTGATATCCCCCTCCAAAATAGTGCAAATATAAACCAAGTCTGACTTTTGAAGATGCAGCTTATTTACCATCTCAAAATAATCACCAAAACAGTCTATAGGGCTAAATCTGTATATTATGGCTTCAAATGTTATATAAATTATTAATTAGACATTTATTCACACAACAAGACTATAATCAACTCTCTAGACCATTGGATGGATGCAATTTTCAATGAATTGGCACATAATTGCCATTTTGTGATTTAATTTAAAAATCGATAACCAAAAGTTTGTTTATTATCGAAACAATTGTACTTGACAACTTCAATCAGAATGATATAATTTGACTGAAATTTTCAATATGTTCATTTTTCATTATCTATTTTTATCTAACTATTACAGCAAAAACGTCCAGTATTTTATCTAAATATTACATACTGCATCTTTAAGATATATCAGAATCTATTTTCTCATAGACTTAATAAATATGTGACTGTTCAATACCGTTTCCAACATTTGCCCATAAAATGTTATTACCTGCTTAAAAACAATAAAATATCATGATAGCATAATAGCTATAGCGGGAAACTGTTATTGAGCATGCATTACATAGGCAGGTTTATACAGGAACAAGGTGGTTTCTCATCAAGAGGCTTACCTCCCCATTCACCGAAGAAACTCATGGACTTTTGTTTTTCTTTGATTAGATATCACAGGGTTTTAGACAACTACTTGGGACAAGAATAAAGGATTCTAACAGCCATCCACACAGAATTAACCAGTTTTATTTATTTAAATATATCTGTGATTTCTCCTATAATGAAATATTGATGGTCAAAGTATAATTAATTGCAAAAAACTGCATTTGCTTAAAATTCAGCTTTTCAAATCATCATAAATCTGATCCCAGATCAATATATAATATAGATTTACCTCTATGGTTAGAGTTTCAGCCTTACACAACATGTGGCACCACTTTCTATTATGTAGCTTATCAAAGACCCTTTAAAAGTATTTTCTATAAAAGTGAACTTTCCACTGAACTCAGTCAATAATGCTTATATAAGTACTTTTTCAGTCAATAAAATGTGAATGAAAGGTTAATCAAATCTTGGTATACATTAATTCATATAATTGATTAGCATGAAAAAGAGCCACATACTCAACAATACATCAACAATGGAAATATTCTGTGTATTATTTTAAAAGTTAAACGCCATGGTGAGTCAGCACCTCGCTACCTCACTGACATTATAAACGTTTGTAAATCAGAATATCGTACTAGGAGTAGTACTGAAGTGAAGCTGTTGCCCTTCTCTTTTAAAGTACATGTGAAGAAAATGTCCCAACAGTATGGCAACCGTGCCATTTGTGTTGCCGTGTCTAAACTGTGGAATAGTTTACCATTAGATTGGAGATCTTGTACAAAACTCCCTCTTTTTAAATCAAACCTCAAAACTTATATTGTTAAAAATTCTCTTAAAAACTATTTTATGTTCATAATGCTGGATTTTATATGTACAGACTATTGAGACAAATGTGTAATGGTCTTAAAACAATAAATATATATTATTATTATTATTATTATTATATAAACCAAGATTTCTTAATCAATAGTTCTAAATGAAATGGGGTTTTACGTCCTATTGTTCTGTTCTGACTGGGCTAATAAACACGGTCATGCGCCCCACAGTGTGCTATGAGGGAAATTTTGCCTTGACAGCAGTGCTACAGCCTACTTTTCTTTCAAATTCCAACTGTCAAGGGATCTTTTACATGCATGCCAATGTGTACACGGGGCTTCGGTTTTTTATCACATCCGACCGACTATACATTTCCTTTGCCAGGCCCTTTATCCTGCACCAATGACAAGGATGAAAACTTCGGAAAATCTCAATAAACTATCTTGGCCAACCAGGCCCGTAGCCAGAGGGGGGCAATGCCCCCCCTCCTCCCGAAAAAATGTTTTGCCGACCCCCCCACCCCCCGAAAAAAAATTTGCCGACCAGAGCTCTAAAATACCTACTGTAGACTGAGCCGGGTGTGCCACCCCTAAATACCTCACTGCCCCTCCGAAGCTAGGAAGCTGGCTATGGGCCTGTGGCCAACGCAGGGATGGAACAATGGACCTCCAGGTTAGCGAGCCAATGTCTTAAACACTGAGCCACCATAGCTCCCTAATCAATAGTTGTTATACACCATTTTGCAATATGGTCTAACACTACCACAACAATCATCCACAATTTCTTTTGAGCACTCTAAAGACTCCATTTATCCTTCAATCTTTTTAAATTTATATAGGCTGTTTACAGTACATGTAAGTTTATTGAATTTCTGCACTTTCTGTAATAAATCTCAGAATTATTGCTTTTACTTTGAAGAACATTGTAAATGCCCTAACTATCTGATATGTTTTAAACATATATGCATTATTTAAATTACCAGTAGTAAAACGAAGTCGCTTATTGAACTTCCAACAATTTCTTTTAATAACTTGTTGAGTGTGGTAGGGGCTATCGGGTCTTACAGAATGGTTTAACACGTCCATGTTAGATCATGAGCTCTGTCATTGAGTCAAGTGGCATGGTTTTGATTCCCCTCTTGCTCTTGACAAGGACTAGGGTCGGCTATACAACCCCATGGGTTTTTTTAAGGGTCCTCCGGTTTCCTCCCACAGCTAAAGATCCTTGCACGCTATCGAATTATTGAAATAAAATGAAACCATATGTTGGTCATGAAATAAACCCCATTTCTTTCTCTTCCTTCTTGAATTATGGCTCTTGTTCACTTCGTAAAATTTTGTGAAAACTTCAGCTAAAAAATTTATTGTCCAGACTGTTCAAAATTTATATACATTGTTTAAATTAGTATAAAAAGGAACCCCTGATGAATAACTATTACAACAATTTCTGATAATACTTATATAGTTATTGCCCTTGATAATGTTATAGAATCTTGTCAACCATTTAAAGATATTATACTCACTGTACCAAACCTTGCTTTTTATTTAGGAGTACCTAAAGATTCACAATTTGATAAAATTTATGGACTGCTCTGACCACTTAGAGACTGTCGGTATATGTTTTGTTGCCTGGCAACCATCTTTCAAAACAGCTTTTCTTTTTTAAGTATATACATTAAAAGATAGAGAGCAAGAGTGACAGCAAGAAAGAAACACACAAAAATGATGTTCACTCAACACTAACCATGTCATTATGGTAGAAAGAATTAGGAATAAATGTAGAAAATGTGTCAAGGATAAAGCCAAAGGACTACAATTATCCCATTTACAGATCTCTAATTTTGTATA